TGACTGAGGAGACACAATAGAGATGGAGTTAGTGATGAACTCAAGGCACATCCTAGTTTCTCCTAAACAAATCAGCCATAATGGGACAGTCAACTTCAGGTTATGTTGAAGATTTGTGGGGACATGAAAGACTCAGAACATGCCCTTCCAAAGGTGCACTAGTGTTACCCAGTGTATTGGTCTGTTTTCTGTTGTGACAACAAGGTATTTGATGCTGTGAACAAGGTATTTGATGCTGTGTACATTATAATGCAGAAGGTTTTTGGATGACAGCTGAATGGTTCTAAATAGCATTGTGCCAGAGTCCTACTGAGAATTACCTGGCTTGTCAGAGACTCTGAAGGGGAATCAGCCATGTACAGAAGGAATAAAATGCTTTAGAAATGTAAGGTTGGAACTGGCTTTCTAACAATGTAATGTTTTAAGAGCTTACTAGCTTCAGGAGACCAGCATTAGGGGTGATGGCCCTTACAACTTAACTCATTACTACTAGACTCTATCTCTTCAAGTTCCAGCCACCACAACATCACCACTCTGGGAATGGAGGTTCCAGAACATGGAAAAAAATTTTTTGGGGGGTGGCTCTCAAGTTATATCCAAGCCATAACAGCTAGTTCCCACAGGGAAACAAACAAACTTGGTTCTAGATGTGGGAGGAGGTGAGAGTGGAGCTCAATAAAGTTGCAACTTTTCCCATAAAAGTAGTTTTTTTTTTTAAGTACTTTTTAGTAGGAGGGAAGTGGTAAAATTACAGGAAGAAAGGAAAAAATTAGTCAGTGTTGCTATTACAGTATTTCTATTATAATAACAGGCTTGGCTTCATCTTTGATTTAAAATAAGCAGTCTCCTGATAAAGCAGGAATGTAGGACACCCTATTCCTTGGCTTTGTTTTTGTTTTAATGGCATATTCAGAGAACAAGACCTAGGAAAAAACTCCAGAAGTTATTTAAGCAATTTAGAAAATAGAAATGAAAGATACTTTTTTAAAAATCAAGGTCTCACTATGTATGCCCTGGCCATTCTGGAACTGACCATATGGACCAGACTGGCCTTTAAACTCACAGAGATCCATCTGCTTCTGCCTCTGGGTGCTGGAATTAAAAACATGTGCCACCATGCCTGGATAAGATACTGAATTTAAATGACCTTAAGATATTACAACTATCAGTAGGTAGCAAATCTCTTCTATCTCAGATATTACTTTATAAAGAGCAGAAGATAAAATTTCTCTGTAAGAGGCAAACAGAAACAAAATGGAGAGAATGGCAATGACACGCCCCCCCCAAACCCAACCTTACTAAGGCCAACAGACTTTGAGCAGGGTAATTTTGTTCAGTTGAATTCATTTTAGAATCTTGATTTTAGAACAAAATTTATTAGCTCTTGAGCCAAGTTCCTTATTCCTGAAAAATAATAAACTATCAAGAAGGGATGTGAGCTGTTAAAGAATTCTGTAGGAAATGTAAGGCTCAAGGTCACAGGCTTCCAGAGTGTAGCCTATCAGATTTCAACAAGGAAAAAAAAATTGTTTTGGTTTTTGTTTTTTTTGAGACAGGGTTTCTCTGTGTAGCTCTGGCCATCCTGGAACTTGCTCTGTAGACCAGGCATCCTCAAACTTGGAGATCTACTTGCTTTTGCCTCCCAACTGCTGGGATTAAAGGTGTGTGCCACTACTGCCCAAAAAAGCCACTATTAAGTACCTGGACAGAGGAAATCTAATGGTGTGCATCAGTGACTACCCAAAAATCAGCATCAGAGAAAGCAAAGTAACAAATGTTAAGTGACAAGGCAGAACTGAGAAAAGGTACCAAGCCATGTGGCTAAACATAGATAAGAATTATGGGTTAATTTATGTGTAAGAGCTAGTCAGTAATAAGCCTGAGCTAATGGCCAAGCAGTTATAATTAATATAAACCTCTGTGTGTTTACTTGGGTCCAAGTGGCTGCAGGACCAGGTGGGACACAGGAAAACTTCCAACTACATTTGACATACCAACATGGGGCTCTCGAATTTCCATGTGGCCTAAAAGAGTTTTCAAAAGGCTTTTAAAAACACAATGGAGCCAAAAAAAAAAAAAAATAGCTTTCTACTTCATGTCTCATGCAGGTTGAGATATAGAGATACCAAGGTACAGAGATGCTTTGGCATGTGAGCTTGAGCTACAATATGGCAGGTTCACAGGATACAAGCTTGAGTGCAGCATGGCAGATTCCTGCCACTGTACACAGTGGTATCTGCAAGCCACACAGCACGGTACATGGTGGATTTAGCTTTTGCTAGTACGGACCAAAAAAAAAAAAAAAAAAAAAAAGGCTTCTGGGCTACATGCTGCTTTGATAGAGGCATAGACCCACTGCTTCACAGAGTCAGTGATGAGCATGGTTCCCCCAGAGCTGACAGTAAACGTAGTTTTACCATGTTGGAAAGCTGAGGTGGGTGGAGCCAGCCATTTCAGTCCTAGTCATGCTACAGTTTAAAGCAATAGATTCACAATAAGACAGATTCAGGTGGAATAAACCCTAAACAGTTTACAGTGTGCATAAAAATGTACATAGGCTTAGAAGAGAGAGGAAAAGGAATATAAAGTTATATAAAGAAATAGTTTTAAAAAATAAAGTCTTTAAAGAGACAGTAAAAGTAATATAAAAAATAAGCCACATAAAGATGGAAATCACACACAGAGTCTGGATTACATTGTCTTTGGGATTTTTAACTGCAGAGAAATTTGATTGTAAAAGCTGCTGAGTTAAATTAATGTTTATTTTAAAGGTATCTTGATTTCAATGTCTAAGGACATTTTTTGTTGCTTTGGAAAAGAGGTTCTGCTTTTGTTTCCACAGAAGATGAGAACCTGTGGATTGCTTCCAAGCTAATATGGTTTGATCAAGGAAGACTCCCTGAGAGGTCTCCAGATGATCCAACATCCAGAACATCTTCAAGGCAACTGGCTTAGAGAATACAGTGTCACAGACTACTCCAGCCAGGACTTGACCATAATTCTTAATTTTCTCAGGATCCTCATAAGACTACCACCACCCACAGTCAGCAGGAAGTAGTCTAGAACACTATGCCCACATTTCCAAAAAAAAAATGGATTATGGATATTTGTCTTTGTTTAGAGATTGGTTACAAATTGTTATTGGTCATAGTCAACATCTTTCTAAAGAAAAAAAGGGGGATAGGATATAGCTATGATAGGATAAAAGGGTAGATTATTAAATCTACTTTTAAAGAGCAACAACTTGTGTAAAATGTTTTAAATTGCTATAGATTTTAGTTTATTGCAAATTTAAAGTTAATTTTTGTTATACTGTATGTATATTTCTACTTGTTTAAGGTATTATGTTTATATAGCTTATTTAAAATTATAATGTATAACTAAGAAATACAGATTAATAGTCTCCATGATAATCAAACTTATAGTCATGCTAGTTAAGTTTTCTAGGTATAATGTTTCCATTAGGTAGATAATCTTCAAACACTTCAAAGACCTACAGAATATGGCATTTAAAATGTTTTAAGAACTTTGACTTTCTGGACATTGAGACATGACTTCTCCTGGCAGCAGCAATCTACTTCAGAGAAGATAATGGGCATTGATGAAAGTCATTATGGAGTTGCTTTCTTTGTGGCAAAAGTTAGCCACTGGGCAAAAAAGTGCCCATGTGTCAACTGCTTGCTAACATGTTGTATAAATTGGACATGCAAGACCCATAGGAAAATGACCACTGAATTTGCCAAAACAAGGTGAAATGGTCCTTCAGATTCCTGCTTCACAGAGGAGACTGCCAGACATTCTACAGGACACAGGAAGAAGTGACTGAGAGACTCTAGGCCTGTAGGCTGAAGAATGGATGCCCCAACATTGCAGAGGAACTTTGGGTGACTGTCCAGGCAGCCAGCTGTCTTTGTCATTTTCAGAATTTTGTAAGTTGCTTACAAAGCACTTCCTGTTTACTTATGTAATATTATATCCTTCTGGGGCCTTTGATGTAGTTGAAGACTAAATAGTTACAATTTTCCTTGGTTATGATAAAAGATAAGTTAGATATGAAACCTTAGACTCACAAATATAGGATAAATAGAAAATTTTCTTTGAATTTACCAAGTATAGACTAGATATTGTAACTGTAATTCTTGAATAATAACTGTTTTGTTATATATAATTTTACTATGTTAAGGTTAAAACCTTTTTGACTAGACAGAAAAGCAGAAATGCTGTGGGATAATACCTTTGTTCACTGGTTTAATAAAATGCTGATTCACCAGTAGCCAGGCAGGATGTATAGGTAGGGTAAGCAGATGAGAATTCTGGGAAGAGGAAGAGCTGAGTCAGGAGTTGCCAGCCAGACACAGAGATAGTAACATGACAAGGCAGAACTGAAAAAAGGTACCAAGCCACATGGATAAACATAAATAAGAATTATGAGTTAATTAAAATGTAAGAGCTAGTCAGGAAGAAGCCTGAGCTGATGGCCAAACAGTTAAAATTAACATAAGCTTCTGAGTGATGATTTTATAAGCAGCTGAGGGACCACACGGTGGGGAGGGACACATGAAAACTTTCAACTACAGTTAGGGGCTGAGAAGATGGCTCAATCAGTAAAGTACTTGCCTTGCAAGCCCGTTCCCTGCCAATGCCAGGAATGGTGGTATGTGCTTGTAATCCCAGTGCTGAGCAGGCAGCCAGGCAGATCCCTAGTAGTTGCTGACCAACTAGTCTACTTACTTGATGTGTTTCAAGCCAATGGAAAACCTTGTCTCAATAGAAGATGGATTGCATCTAAGAATGCTATGCAACAGAATTCTTACTATGAATTTGCAATTGAAACAAAAATTCATAACTAAATGCTTAATATATGTATTTAGTGGCAGATCACATAGCTGAAGAGAAACCAGTGGACCAGAAGACAAATTAAATCCAGAATGAAACTTGGGGAGCATTGAAGAAACTGATAGGTGGGAATAAAATCCCCAGAGACACAGGAGATACAGTGAGAAGGTCAAATACACCTTTATTTAAATCCTGGAAGAGAAGGCTGTATATCTACTATCTCAGCACTAGTTTACTGAGACATAGAGCCAAAACTACAGGAGCACAAAGAAACCAAGATAAGATTACTAAAACAATTGTCTACACTAAGATACTTTGTAATAAAACACAAGTAAACCAAAGATACAGAAGCAAACCTTAAAAGAAGTCTTTAAAATATATATTAAACAAATACATGGATATAGAGTAAAATTCCAAGACAGGTGGTTTGTTGTGACAAAAGAACATGGGACCCATCCAAGAAATGTATTCCTAACAAAAATATCTTTTAAGTTGGATGTGGTGGCACATACTTGTAATTCCAACAGCTGGAAGGCTGAGGCAGGAAGACAGCAAGTTAGAGGCTAATCTAATCTATATAGCTAGGCCCTAGCTCAAAAAATAGGTTTTAATTCAGTCTAAGAGAATATAATTTTCAAATTAGAAAGGAAAATAGAATAATTATAATAGAATTCAAGTAGAATAATTCTTATACAGTCTGAAGACATAATAGGAAATAACAATTGAAATCAAATGAAATTAAAAATAGTTTTAAATCTAAAGCAATCAGCAACCATGCATTAAAAGGCTAATGTTCCTGTTAAAATGGATTATTAGACTGGATTAAACAATATTACATGTGATTTCCAAGTGGCATATCCAACATATAAAAAAGCACAGAAACATTCAAAGTTAAAAAAAATGGAAAGAGATAAGCCATGCAGCAATAATCAGAAAAAAGTTGCTCTATTAATATCAGAGAAGAGACTAAATAAGCAAAAGGCATCACTAGAATCAAGTTTTCCTTCATAAAGTTTCAACTAGCCAGTTCTATAGACCCATGTGGCTTCAGTAAAACGAAATCCACAGTAAAGGGGTAACTCAACAAATTACCATTCATTAGTAACAGTGAATATGTGTGATACATTACAAAGTTAACCTAATGACTTCATGTAGGTGACCACATCCAGCATGTGCAGAACACATGTTCTTTTCCAATGCTGTGAACCCTCACTAAAGGAAAAGCATGCTGGGCCTAAAGCAAGTCTCGGCACATTTTTAAGGACAGCAAATACAGAGTATGTTTTTTGAACACAGTAAAATAACAAAGCTCTAACTAGGACATCCAAATGTTAAGAATGTCTAAAAATAAACTCCTGACTTCTTATGGAATGTCTACTATGATTCCCTCCTTTTCGTTTCTAACTTAGATTATTCATACTTTTCTGGTTTTTCTTGTTCAATCACACCAGAAGTTTATCAAATTTCCTACACTTGAAGTGCCAGCCTTGACTTTACTGGTCTCTATTTTTTTTTTTTTTTTTTTTTTTTTTGATTTTTGAGACAGGGTTTCTCTGTGGAGTTTTGGTGCCTGTCCTGGATCTCGCTCTGTAGACTAGGCTGGCCTCGAACTCAGAGATCTGCCTGCCTCTGCCTTCTGAATTCTGGGATTAAAGGTGTGTGCCGTCACCTGGCTTTGTTGTTTTCTTTTTCATTAATGCTTATTTTCTTCTTCATAGCTTTGAACTTTTGAAAATAAGAAAAAACATTATTCAATTTAACAATAATGTCTACATAGTATTTTTTTGAAGCTCAAAGACAGTATTATTAGAGTTCGAAAGAAAAAAAAACAGGAAAGGCAAGCTGAAAGTTGTGGCAGCTGACAGGGTGGGAAATACAAGGAGAGGAAGAGAGCTCACCATGCCTTTTGAGTTAGTGTCCAAGAAAGCAGACAAGTTTAGCAATGGAGGTCATAAGGCAGCTAGCTGCATGGCAGAAGCGAGAGCTTAGGAGAAAGAGTAAGACAGACAGTGTCAGGGCAGCATGCTTAGGTTTTGACCAGTGACTAGAAGAGAGAGAAAGATGGAAAAGGGTGTTAGAGCGCAGGGGATGAGCAGACAGTGCTGCATCACAGAAACTCTGCAAGCAGCTGTCTGAATGGTATTTTTAACAGAAAACATAGGCTTCATCGAGAGTGGAGCTTTATTTAGTAGTGCTACATATCTAAAACTCCCAGCACTTAGGAGGCAGAGGCAGAAAGATCGCAAGCTGGAGGCTAGCCTCATCGATACAGCAAATTCCAAACTAGTGAAGTAAACATATGAGAGCTGTCTCTAAACAACAAAAACAAGGGCCCGAGATGGCTCAGTGTGTAAAAGTGCTAGCTGCAAAGCCTAATGGCCTGAATTCAATTCCCAGGCCATCCACATGTGTATATGTATGTGGGCACATGTGTGGAAGTCAAAAGACAATTTGCAGGAGTCCTCTCTTTTTGACCATGTGTCCCAGGGATCAAACTCAGGCTGTCAGGTATAACAGCAAGTGTCTTTACTCACTGAGCAATTCTGTTTGCCCTTTTTCATTAACCCTTAAAGAATTGTGTTTTACAGATGAGAAAATTGCATGCAGGACAGGAAACAAATTCCTAATCATTGCATTGACTGGAATGTTGGCCCTAGGTTTGTATCTTAGACCAGAGGAATTTTGTCTGCCCTCTTCAGTGAGTCCCTAACAACACCAGGATCTCCTATCTTTTTAGACCTTAATGGGCACTTACTAAAAAACAGCCATAGTTAAGATAATGGGTGCTTGGCACTCACTAACTCTTTTTGTATACTCTCTAGCATATCTGAGAATAACCAAGTTAAAAAAAATCATCACAGTTAACAACAAAAGCCTGAAGGGGGAGAGGCAAAATGTGCATACATGAGTATCTAGGTTGACTAAGGCTGCCTAAACCAAAGATGAAAATTCCCACATCCTTCAGTTCATCTAATAGTGTCCATTGCCAGACTCAAGTTGGAGCTCTTCTTGCTGAACCCCTCTGGCAAAAAATAAAGCACACTTGCTCAGAACAATAGATTTTTTTTAAGAGCAAGTTAATCACTGAGAAAACAGACCCCAAATCTTGGTTTTCTTACCTCTTTTCATTTTATCTGTATATGGCATAGACCTTGGGGAATTTTTCTTGAGTTTCAGTTAAGAATTGCCTTCTATTACCTCAGTGTCTTGATGTTCCACAATGCTTGGAAAAGAGCTACTATTTGGCCAGCCATACTTGATATACCCTCATTTACACTTTTCTCACTTCAGGCACTCTTCCTGGGTCTGCAATTATGCTGATTTTTCTAATCTCTTTACCTTTGAGCTATTATCCTGACAAAACAGGTGAGGATACATCAACATAAGTGGTTTAGTTACTGGCCGGGAGCCATCTGGGAGTGAGAGTCTTTTTTATTTTTTGGTTTTTCGAGACAGGGTTTCTGTGTAGCCCTGGCTGTCCTGGAACTCATTTTGTAGACCAGGCTGGCCTCAAACACTCAGAGATCTGCCTAATTCTTCCTTCCAAGTGCTGGGATTAAAGGCGTGTGCTACCACTGCCCAGCCAAGAATTCTCTTTTAAATCCAGGTTTCCTGGTGACAAAACCCTACTTTCAGCCACCAAATTTTGTTGCTTCTTTGCGTGGGGTTTGCTGCTTTCTAAGTACAACAAACACAACTCATGGCTTGAGAAGAAATGTTGACTCTAAATGGAATGGAATCTACTTTTAGGTAGAGACATGCTCTTGTCTTAATGGTCAATCCAATGAGACTGTGGCAGGCCTGTCTAGAGGACCAACCACCTCCAGAAAAGTGGGTTCATTAAGGCCAGAGGCATTAAAAAATCCCTAAAGCTGAAGTTATGGAAGGTTGTGAGCCTCCCAAGTGGGTGCTGAGAACCAAACGTGGTGTGGGTCCTCTGCAATAGTAAGTCCTAACTTCTGAGCCATCTCTCCAGCCCCCAGGATCCTATTCTTAAACTGTCTTGGATTGTCCACTGTCTTTCCAGCCTCAGTGCTCTCTTGAGGTATCTACATGTTCACTGCCAACCCCCCATATTTTTATGTAGAAACTTAATCATCAATGTATTATAAAGTTGGGCCTTTGGGAAGTGATTAAGTCAAGAGGGTGGAGTACTCATATATGGTATTGGTGCTCCTATAAAGGAGGCTCAAGACCCCTTGATCTATATGTGGTGCACTGACGCCCCTTCTATGACTCAGGAAATGGATCCTAACCAGACATGTAACCTGAGGGTGCCCCATTATTACACTTGCAAGCCTCCAGAATTGTAAATAGTTATTTCTAATTATGCAGTCTACAATTTGTTATAGTAGCCAATGTACTAAAGACAGGATACTACTACGTGCCTTTAAAAATTACATTATTTTTCATTTTCAGTGGAAATTGAAAATTGACCCAAATATCTTAGCCCACCTCTACCAGAAACAGAATGTCTGTTAGTTTTTTACATTGGTGTTTTTCTTCCTAGATTTTTAAAGTTATCTTTATCCTGTTAACATGTCTATGCCACCTTCCAAACACACTTAACTTCATACAAACTAAAATTAAGTCTCTTGTCCCTGTTCCTAGATAAAAGCACTTTAGGCCTCTGATCTTCCAGATTCCAATTTACTTTTCACCATGCCAATTCTCTTAACCTTGCAAACTTTAAAAATACATTTCGGCCAGGCGGTGGTGGTGCACGCCTTTAATCCCAGCACTCAGGAGGCAGAGGCAGGCAGACCTCTGTGAGTTCGAGGCCAGCCTGGGCTACAGAGTGAGTTCCAGGAAAGACACAAAGCAAAGCTACGCAGAGAAACCCTGTCTTGAAAAACCAAATATATATATTTGTGTATGTGTGTGTGTGTGTATATATATGTATATATATTATATATGTGTGTATATATATTCACTTACAAGTTAACATTTTCACTTTTTGTTTTCTTCTTGCATATCATTTACTATAAAAGGCAAGTATGATCACTAATCTCACATTCATCTGGCCCAAACAGGCTTATCTACAATAAACTCATTGAATTGAATCTGAAGCATGATGTCCCGATGGGACAACTAGAAACCAGGAGACCCATATACATCTGAGTTCACCTAAGTATCATTTACCTGGCCCTACATATAATACTCAAGGCTAGGCCAAGAGGCCTCTAGCCTATTTACTTCCCATCTCTGAATAGTTGGGGGCTGCAGTAGTTTTCCCCAGCATTCAGTGTACTGGGGTGATCAGGATGCCAAGCTAAAAGTAGGTTAGAAAGATGGCTCAGTAGTTAAGGGTTTGTACTGCTCTCCAAGAGGACTCAAATTTGGTCCCCAGCATCCATATCAGGTAGCATACAAGTACTTACAACTCCAGCTCAAGTGGAATGCCTCCAGCTTCCTAGACACATACATTCACAAGCACATAGCCCCATACATACACATAATTAAAAATAAAGATTAAAACTTAAAAAAAAAAAGTGACCAGAGCCAGGAACGTACCTCACTGGTAGAACACTTGCATAGTATGCGTAAATCTACTTTGTCTGATCCACAGCACCACAAAACTCACAATCTTTTCTGAAAGGAGGTCAACCTCAGTATTTGTATTTAACCCGTGTCATCCTTGAAACTAGGTAGTACCTTAGGTCGAGATGGAGTTCACACGGGGGGGGGGGGGGGGGGGGGGGGGGGGGGGGAGTGTGAGAGGAATGGAACTCAAGCCACAAGTACACTAGCTACTTTGGCCATAAGGCACATGAAAAGTGGTCTTTTCTTTAGCAAATGAAATGTAATCCCCTTCCTCAACAGCTACTGGGAATGGAGAGTCTGGTCTTTCTGCCTACCACAACACAGCCACTCTGGAGGATTCCTCAACACTTGCTCTGCTCCCTTTATTCAGGATATTCTACTTCCCACTCATCAGAAGAAACCAGTATCTATACCTCTCTTTCTGGTTAGCTATGGTCAATTTTCTCCGAACACTTTTAGAAGTTAGGCCATGCATATGTGTGTCTATCAAGAATGGTTCGTTCATAGTCTTAACTAATTCTTGCTCACTTTTCCCTACTTAGTGCCTAGGACAGTGGGCTGTACCTAGCAGATTCTCAACAAATATTTGCTGAGTAAACTAAATCTGTGGATAGGGTCAAATTTACCAGTGTCTTGTGCAGAAAATAATGTTAAGTGTGGGCTTTATACTAAAAGAATTGAGGGGTAACGATGTTTTCCCTTTTTTCACCTCATCTTTCAAAACTTACTAGTGGTAATTTAGAAGTAGAAACAAAGTACTTTCTAGTACTCCCAGAGGGAGACATGGGAATCATTTTGTGAGACAGGAATCCTTAAAGAAATATGGATCTGGCTAGAAACTGTCTTTTGTAATGACTGTAGACTCTGAAGCCTGAGAACAAACTGAAACTTCACCTGGTACTAATAACTTGACCAAATACTATGAGTGGAGCTCAACTCAGAAAGTCTGCTTTTACTGTTCAGATACCTAATGTTTACTGCTACAGTTAGTAATATTTTGTATTAAATTCTGTTTATAATGAATTGTATAGTGACAGATCACTCAACTCACACAGCCTACCCCCTCTAACAAATTATAATCCAGCCTCAGTATCATCATCAGAGTTTTTTCCATGGTCTCTTCAAAAATTCATCTGTTTTCCCCTGAGATAAGCATGATCTAAGTTCTGTTGAAACCTCAGATATTAGCCTGGTGGATGAATCTTCACAGATAAGAAACTTTCTGGCTATCTTGTACCACTTACAAGGAAAGATATGACACACAAATGGCTCTTTATTCCATCTAAAGTAAGCCACAGCCTAGTTACACTTGAGGCATTTCTTTATTGGGGTTTTGCCTTACCTTACCATAACTACCTGCCCTTTATGGCAAAGCGAGTTCTGAACATATTCATATTTTACAACAGACAATATACACATTAGTACATGAAATCTTTATAACTTTCTGAAACACTTAATATTGTTTTAAAAACAGGAACTTCCTCCTCCTAATTACTGATACTTACTTTGCCCTTGTAATAAAAACACCTGTTGAAACATTTTTTTAATTCATAGGATTCCCTGAATTTTTTTCTGTAAGGTGCAAACTCATAGTGAAGATGTGTTCCACTACTTACTGAAGATACTGAAATCCTTTCCATTCTTAGTATGTGTGAATGCCACCTCCCAGGCTTTCATTATCATATGTATTACTTATTAAGGGAGTTCACTTGGTCTTACCAGTTCAATTAGTGTAATAGTCTATTCCAACAAATCTGCATTTTAATGTGACTATACCACCGATCTGACTATGCCTTTTCTTTTCCTAGGACATCTAAATTGTTTCAGAAGTTGTCATCTCCCTACCACAAACAATTGTTAAGTCTATAATTCGTGACTACTAATAAACTGGTATTCCCTGAAACCATTCTCTCCCTGAATTTGCCTATTAGTGACCCTTCTTGGATTTTTATACTGACCAAAGTATAGAGTTCAAAATTATACCAGATTTTCTACATTCTTATTTACTCATTTATCCAAATAGCATCTTTGTAATGGTGAATATGATTTCTAACTGAAGTCCTTTACCTTCATGTTTTATGTCCAGAAATGTATGCCTATTTGGGAGGATGTTTATTAAATGTTCCATCACTTTGAAAGGTTTTCTATCTAGTGGTATTTTGTATTCCTAAAGGGCTCAACTATTGTGGCACTAGAACTGTCATTGCTATGACTGAATCATGTATAAAGAATTGTTCATCATTATTTAGAATTCTTCCACTTATACTATAAAAATTGTAAGCCATGAGTAAGGATCTCAGAAATTCTTACATTCATAAAGTTTTTCTTCTATTTGATTTCTTTGAGACTTGGTAGGCTGTGCCTCCCATATAGGCACAGGCATCATCCGCATCCTGGTCCCCTCCAGAGCATTCCCTCCCTCATAGTAGATTATCTTCTGGAATGTGCCACTATGACTTTCCATATTTGCCATATTAAAAGATTCCTCTCCGGTATGGATTCTTTTATGCTTGGTAAGATTTGATCTGATATTAAATGCCTTCCCACAATCATTACATCGGTATGGCTTCTTTCCAGTGTGGATCCTTTTGTGTTGGTCAAGGACAGATCTGTAATTGAAAGATTTCCCACACTCACAATTATAGGGCTGCTTTCCACGGTGAACACTTTTATGATTGATAAGACTTGAGTGTGAAATGTATGCCTTTCCACATTCATCACATCCGTAGGGTTTTTCACCTGTGTGGATCCTTTTATGCACTGTGAGGCCTGAGCTGTTCCTGAAGGCCTTCCCACACCAATCACATATATAAGGTTTCTCCCCTGTGTGGATCCTCTTGTGTTGGGAAAGAAGTGAGCTGTAGCTAAACGATTTCCCACACTCAACACATTTGAAGGGTTTTTCCCCAAGATGGACTCTCTTATGGCTTATAAGAGTTCTACTTGAGAAAAATGCTTTTCCACATTCATCACATGTATAGGGTGTCTTGCCAGGGTGCGTACTTTTATGGTTAATAAGGCTTGAGTGTGAGATGTAGGCTTTTCCACACACATCACACTCATAGGGCTTCTCCCCAGTGTGTATTCTTTTATGAACTTTAAGGCTTGAGTTGTTTCTGAAGACCTTCTCACACCTGTCACATTCAAAGGGTTTCTCTCTAGTATGAACTCTTTTGTGTTGAGAAAGGAGTGAGGTGTAGTTAAAAGATTTCTCACACACATCGCATTTGTAGGGCTTTTCTCCAAGATGAATCTTTTTGTGGTTTAAAAGGGTTCGGTACGTGACGAAGGCTTTCTCACACTCGTCACACTTAAAGGGCTTTTCCCCAGGGTGTACACTTTTATGATTTATAAGGCTTGAGAGTGAGATATAGGCTTTCCCACATTCTTCACATTTATAAGGTCTCTCCCCTGTGTGGATTCGTTTATGTACTTTAAGGCCTGAATTGTTTCTGAAGGCTTTTCCACACTCATCACACCCAAAGGGTTTCTCCCTTGTATGAATCCTTTTATGCTGTTCAAGGGCAGAACTGTAGTTGAAGGATTTCTCACAATAGCTGCATTTATAGGGCTTCTCCCCCATGTGGATTCCTTTGTGATTTTTAAGGCTTGAGCGTGAGATATAGGCCTTCCCACACACGTCACACTTGTATGGTTTTTCCCCAGTATGGAGCCTCCGATGGACTTTGAGACCTGAATTGTTCCTGAATGTTTTGCCACACACATCACATACATAAGGTCTCTCTCCAGTATGAATGGTTTTATGTTGAAGAAGAAGTGAGTTATAACTAAAGGACTTGCCACACTCCTTACATTCATGGGCTTTCTTTCCAGGATGAATGCTTTTATGGACTGCAAGGCCTGAACTATAGCTAAATGCTTTGCCACAGATATCACACTTGTATGGTTTCTCTCCTGTGTGGATCCTTTTATGCACTATGAGGCCTGAGCTGTTCCTGAAGGCCTTCCCACATTCATCACATTCATAAGGTTTCTCACCAGTGTGGATGACTTTATGCTGAATGAGAAGAGAGCTGTAATTAAAAGATTTCTCACACTCATCACATTTATAAGGTTTATCACCAAAGTGGATGCTTTTATGATTCAGAAGTGTTCTGCATGTAATGAATGCCTTCCCACATTCGTCACATTCATAGGGTTTCTCACCTGTATGTATCCTTTTGTGGACCCTCAGACCAGAGCTATTACTGAAAGTTTTCCCACAGATGTCACATTCATAGGGCTTCTCCCCCGTGTGAATCCTTTTGTGGACTCTCAGACCAGAACTGTTCCTGAAGGCCTTTCCACACTCACCACATTCATATGGCTTCTCACCAGTGTGGATCCTTTTGTGTTGGTCCAGAACAGAACTATAATTGAAGGATTTTCCGCATTCATCACATTTACAGTTCTTCTCCCCAGAATGGGTGCTTTTGTGGTTTATAAGGCTAGAGTAGGACATGTAGGCTTTCCCACATTCGTCACACTTATAGGGCTTCTCTCCAGTATGGATGCGCTTATGGACTCGAAGGCTGGAACTGCTGCGAAAAGTTCCCCGACAGTCCTCGCACTCATAGCGCTTTTCTCCAGTGTGCATAAGTTTATGTTGAACAAGGCGAGAGTTGTATTTAAAGGATTTTCCACAGTCATCACACTTATGTGATTTCTTAACAGCGGTAGATTTCTGCTGTGGAGTAGGGTGCAAGTTTCCATTAATGTTCTCCACGTGTTCACCTTGTTCACTAATTCTTGGTTCTGTAGGGATAGTCTGGTACATGGTATCTGCACTTGGGTACAGTGCAGACTTTTGGGTACAGTGGGGACTTTTCTCAGATGCCTCATCATCCTGTTCTATTTTTATATTTTCTGTGTTCTTCGATTTGTCAATCTTTTCTCTGATGCTACTTTTGTCTTCCTTCATTTTCCATTCAGGACTTTCCAATTGCTTCTCTACACAAACACAAGTGTCGTCGAACTTAGATTTCTGCATATGATCCTTGTGAAGAATTTCCACATTTGTGCACTGAGAGTCTGTATTTGAATTACTTTCATTCTTTTTAGCTGATTCCTCATCCTCCATGCTTGTCTTCAAATGTGACACTAGACCAGGAAAATGAAAATGATATGTTTATTTAGAAAAAAAAGAAAGAATAACAATAGCAAATAACAAAATCAACTTATCCCTTTGACAGGTATTTGCTTGTTGTGTGGCAAGTACCATTAAAAAAAAACTTGAAGCCGGGCGGTGGTGGCGCACGCCTTTAATCCCAGCACTCGGGAGGCAGAGCCAGGCGGATCTCTGTGAGTTCGAGGCCAGCCTGGGCTACCAAGTGAGTTCCAGGAAAAGGCGCAAAGCTACAGAGAGAAACCCTGTCTCGAAAAACCAAAAAAAAAAAAAAAAAAAAAAAAAAAAACTTGAAAGATTTATGTATAAGAGTGTTTTGCTTGCATGTAGGAATGTGCACCAGGTACATGCCTAGTGCCCAGTGAGTTCAGAAGAGGTAGCTGGATACCCTGGAACTGGAGTTAGGCATGGTTATGAGCCACCACTGAATGCTAGGAACTGAACTCAGGTCTTTGCAAGAGCATTAAAGTGTTAAGTTCTGAGTCATCTCTCCAGCCCCATAAGCACCATTTTAATTGTTGGGGATATGATGGGGGTCATTAATAAGAGTTCAACACCTTGAGAACTACCGCTAAAACTAGAGCCCAGATTGCTGATGATCCAAAGAGCTTTTTCATTTCTGCATCAACCTAGCATGAAGATAAGTTAAAAATGGGAATGGGTGATGCACAGAACCACAGCCAATACCAATCAGTTTCAATGTCACCTCATAGAAAACAACAAAAAAGTCTCTGAAAAACAGAAAACAGAAAGAAAAAAATTGGAAAAACAAAGGCAAGGTTAATTTTTCTTTGAAAAGTTACACATAAATCGGCAGAGAACAGGTAAAACTAAAGAAGAAGATAAATCAGTACCCTAGAAGAGGGATCAGGCAGGTAGTTGTAGTTATAAGATTATGAGGACAGTGACCAAGGAATGAGAAAGAAAGAAAGCTGTAGCTACTGTAAATTGATCTGCCCTTCTGGACTTTTCTGTGTATAGAAAACACTGTCCTTGGAAAGTGGCTAATCATGGAAGAATTTATATAGCAGAACATGTTCCAGCCTGCCAAGGAATAAAGTTTTCATTCCTACTTATGAATAAATTAGTCATACAGCATGTCAAAGATTACAAATAGTAAAGTGTGATGGCCCAATTTTGTAATTCCGGCACTTTGGAGGCTGAGGCAGGAAGGTGACTCCATGTTCCAGGCCAGCCTGAACTATGGTGTAAGACCTTGTCTCGAGAATGGTGAAACAAAGATGACAGCACCTCAAGCCACTGAGCAAAGAAGTATAGGCCCTCCATACGTACAGGTATAGGCCCTCCATACGTACAGGTTCTGCATCTGCAGATTCGGCCAACCACGGATCAAAAATATTCAGAAGAACAAAGTTACATTTGTACTGGACATATACAGGCTTTTAATTTTTATCATTATTCCCTAAATAATACAATATAACAAAGACTCACACAGTTTTTAGGCACTACAAGTAATTTGAAAATGGTTTAAAGTACACAGAAAGGTCATTTGTAAATACCCTATCATTTTAAATAGGGGACTTGAGCATCTGTTGCAGACTTTGCTATCTGTAAGATCTTGAAACCAACCCTCACATAGACCAGAAAATGACTAGAATACTATAAGTTCAAATACCTAGTTACCTGATCTTTGAGAAAGCTACTTAATTTCTTTGTACAGCAGTTTCTTCATCTGTAAAATGAAAAGTAATAGGGCTGTTGTAAATATTAGATGACAGCCATGTAAAACCAGCAATAACAGTACTTGTCCCTTGGTCAGGGCAAAATGTTAATAGAATTCATTATATTACTTATTATGGTATTAAAAGTTAAACTATTGGATCAAGGTTAATATGTATGGAAAAAGCTCATGATTCAGAAAAAAGATAAACTTCCCAAAGCAGACTTTAATACCCAAGCAGGGTACCTGTTCTCCTGAAGGTACTTTACATGACATCAATACCGATTTTCTGACATACTGACTTGTAAGAAAAAGCTGACTTATTCCAATCCTAGAAAATGAAGCATTTGTTAACATATAAAATGTGATCTTTCCCTCCTGTCCTGGGTAACATTTTGGAACATTATTATGAAATTCTGTTAATCTCAGAAAACTCTATATGTAACTATGTGAGGGAAAAATGGGCAATAAAAGATACATGATTTGGAGTGAACATGTGCAAAGAGTCATATTACCCAACTCATTTCCATAGGAATAATGAAATTTCTATAGGAATAGAAAAAAGTTAGAAATTTAGGAGACCATTTAGAAGATGAAGAATGACCTGGCAGACACTAAAATATATAAAATTAAGTCCCAAGTATGAGGTCACTGAAGAATGGTAGCCCAGTCTAGTTCCATGGCTCCCTGTATTACTTTCGGTAGAGCAGTCCACAATACTTAAAATGTGGAACTAATGGGTTGGCTAGTATAGTTCTAGAAGATTCAGCAGCAGCATACATTAACTATATTCTTCTATTTCCACACACAACAGAGATTTTCCATCCACTTCCTTTTCAATTTTAGCCCCTCCATTTTAACTTCCTCAGAAGAGAAAAATGTTAAGGTTCCTACAGCCATAAAAAACAACTTCCTAAAATAAAAAGTTGCTAGGGAAGAAAAAGAGCTGTAAGTGACTACTAGCCATACTGGCTATTAACATGTGCTATAATTAAAAATGTGCTTCTATAATTTAAATGTGTTACTGGCATATAAATAGACATACCCAGAAATTATTCTAGCTACACACAGAAATTGATGATGAGGATGGCATTACTGGGGAAAAGACAGTTTTTTAAAATAGTGTTGTAACAAATATAAAGCCATCTGGGGAATAAAAAAGATAAAATTAGATCTTTTATACCACACCAAGGGACAAACTCCAAATGGAACAGAGCTCTAAATATAAAGAAGCTAGAAATAATAGAACAGACACAAGAATAACAAATACTAGGGAACAAAACAAAACAAAACACGAGTTAATGACTCTATGACCTGGGTATAGAGAAAGCTTCCTAATCATAACCAAAATGAAGTACAAGACTGATATTTAACTACATATATATACTTTTATGGTAAAAATAGCATATAAACAAATTCTTACCCCCACTCCCAAAAGAAAATGCCAGAAAATACTGTCAGAACTGTGACGAGAGGTGAGAGAAAAGGCTGTACTCTACCAAGAACCCCACCTCAGGCCCTAAGGTTACTAAGGTGTCTGGGTCTGTCCAAAGCCTGTTTGGCTCACCAAGAGCTACTGGTATTCTAAGCTAAACAGTGGGCAGAACGAAATCTCCCTGGAACAGAGTGGCTGCGTCAGTAACAGAACTGCTTTCAAGGTATAATGATGTGTTGGAACTTGCTGTTGGTGGAATACTATAGGATGAACCAAGTACAGACGACGTGCAATTGGTGAACGCTGATTCAGCTACATAAACCATTACAATGCCTCTGAAGACTGGAGGAGTAGCTATATGAACAGGCAGAGCGCATCTATCAGTTTAAAGAGACACTTCAGTAGCAGAATCAATAGTCTCAATAGTTCCAATGGCTATTGGGACAAAACATTTGTCATTAACTGGAATACACTCAAAACAGAAATCTAGCCAATCAAGTATCTATGTGCCTGGAAAGACTCAGCAGTTTGGGCCTTAAGCCTGAAGATCCGACTGTCCTGATCCTTAAAGCTGATATAAGTGTTCTGCACCAGGCCAGTACGTCTGAGTCCCTCAAGACCATTCTGATTCCCAAGCATCTGATAGCTCATGCCAGTTTATCAAAGATCAGTCCTTACAGAAAATAAGTTATATTCCAAGGGCTAGACTGAAGTCAAAATCCAGCAGCATAGCTGTTCTTAGCGAATGGCTTCTTAGAAGCAAACCTGGCTCTGGTCTTCAAGCTCATTATATACCCAGCACCCTCCACTCGCCCCCCCCCCCCCCACTCCAGGACTGGCTCACCACAAAACAGACTTTGGAGAATACTCAGATTTCTTTCTGCCAGACTTTGCAGATTCCATAGTAATATCTGAGTCAACCCACCTAAAGGGCCTAGAAAAGTGACTCCTTAAGAATCTGCAACAAGACGTTCCTGGAAAAACAGGGTCTCCAAGGTGTAACAGCTGTTATGCCACCAGTTCTTACTCTACTGCAGTTGAAAAGGTAGAAGATATACAGAGCTGCTTATAAAGATGACATGGACCTGTCTGACTGGGGCTGATGACCACATGTGGGACAGGACCACATGAACTAGAGGAAATGGTAAATGGCAGCTGTGAAATCAGTGAGAGGTTGAAACTCACTCCAGGTGTTTGAGAAGTCCTACAGTGTCAAGCCCAATTTTTGTACCAATTCTAGCATAGCAAGTCCAATGATGTAGATACTGAAAATCTAAGAAATCAGAAGTGCTTCAATGACAACCTTGGAGGCCATGTTTTGAAACCACTGGCCATTCCCAGCACAATCAGGATTGTCTTGTCTGGAACCATCAGGACCCATATGGAATACACTGAGCCTTGTATGAACTTTCAGAAAGAAGGGAAGAAGGAGAGAGAGGGTAGGGAAGGAGAGAGGGAGAAAGAGTAAAAGGAGGAAGAGGGAAGGAGTGTTAAGAAGTAAGCTCTGTGTAGAATGGCTTCCAAAGAAGAAGGAAAAGATAAGGTGAAAGGCTTGTGGAACCCAAACCTAAGTCTGAAAAACAGAGTCCCTGAATATGTGGTTCTGTCCCTCCAGAAGAGCTAACAGGACCAAACCTTTGGCAACGGCTCGGGTCAGAAATGCTGATTTCTTCCAAGTCATAAGGATCAGTTCCTTTTCAGAGTGGCTTACTGGGTCTTCGTTGAAAAGAAAGAAGCCCCAAAGAAATGCCTACTAGTGGGGATAAAGCTGGCAAAGCAAAGCTTAGAAGCACTATGACTGCTTCCTGGCTTCTGTTGTCCCTGTTAACAATGTTCATCTGGGGATTACCAGAAAGGGA